AGCAAGCATTACTCTAATTCCGAAACCAGAGAAGGACCCAACTAAGAAAGAGAATTACAGACCAATCTCCCTAATCAATATGGATACTAAACTCCTCAATAAGAGACTGGCAAACAGACTCAAGCAAATTGTCAAAAAGATTGTATACCATGATCAGGTAGGATTCATCCCAGGGATGCAAGGATGGTTCAACATACATAAATCCATAAATGTAACATACCATATTTACAGAGCCAAGGACAAAAATCATATGATCACCTCAATAGATGCAGAAAAAGCTTTACACAAAGTTCAGCACCCATTCATGATAAAAAAAAACCCTACAGAAAATTTGAATAGATGGTCTTTATCTCCATCTGATAAAAGCCATTTATGACAAACCAACAGTCAACGTCATACTAAACAGGGATAAACTGAAAGCTTTCACTCTAAAATCAGGAAGACAAGGATGTCCACTGTCTCCACTCTTATTTAACATAGTCCTGGAAACTTTAGCTGGAGCAATTAGACAAAAGAAAGAAATAAAAGGAATAAAGATAGGAAGAGAAAAACTTACACTATCATATTTGCAGATGACATGATACTCTACTTATAAGACCCAAAAACTCCATCAAGAGACTTCTAGATTTAATAAGCAAATTCAGTAACATAGCTGGTTACAAAGTCAACGCTAAAAAATCAATATTATTTTTGTACATGAATAATAATCTCACTGAGAGAGATCTTGTTTCAAAGAAAAAAATTTTAAGGGCTGGAAATGTAGCTCAATCTAAGGCCCTGGGCTCAATTCCCAGTACAAAAACACTATGCCACAAGTTATAGAGCTGTTGCACAGCAGGAATCTGATGACTCTGCTTATGTCACTGAAGTTTTGAGTTTTGTTTTACTTTTACTAGAGAAACCGATATATCAGGTTTCTGGGTAGTGTGTCAGAAATGAGAAGGAAGACTACAAATACACTTAATGAGCCACCACCACCAAGAACATATTACTGTCCCTATCTTACAAAACCTGCAGTCTAGTAGTAGAGAGGACTCACATGAGTGAGTATGAAATTACTGTGCTATATGTCATGAGAAGTCACTGGTGACCATAGCGAGGAGAATGACTTATTCCAAAAATTCAGGGAAACTTCCTATTAGAAAATAATGGACCTCAGATCAGAAGGAAGGTAGGACTGGAAATCATCCTAGCAACATGTAGAGTGCCTAGGTGAACAGCAATGGCATGGTCAAAATCTTTGTGGCAGACAGGAGATAATGCTATTATGGCTAGGGACAGCCGGGTGGGAAGGATGAAGAGGCAGATTATCATAGGGCACATTAAATGTTTTGCACCTAAGTGTCATTAAAAGCCATTTAAATACCTTAAGGGAATAGGACGGGGGAAGCAGTAGACATGAAAAAATACGTATTTGGAAAAGGTCACTCTGTACTGTGTAGAAAAAGAATGGAGTTTGGGCCTAAATGATTGCAAGAAGCTATACTAAGTTATAAATTGACTTTCAACCAAACAGCGCCTATGTATTCCTACCTTCTACTTTCCCATTAAGTAGATTATAGTGGGGAAAAAAAATCAGATAATAATGAAAAAAACTTTTAAAAACTTTTGTTTTGCAAAATGTTCAGCTTCTTTCTTTTGCAAAAACCCATTTCCCTGCTATGATCACAGCCTACAAATCTGGCTCACCAACTTGCTCTTTAAAGAACACAGGAAAGTAAGGTAACAGGAACTCCATACAACCTGAGAAGACAGTAAAGCATGAAATCTCAACGACTGTTCAGGTCCTGTCTCTTTTCAGCTCTGCAGGTCTCATGGTTTTAATCACCACCCGCCATGCCGATGCTACCTCTAGCCTACACTCCTCCCTGAACCTCGGTGTCTGTCTACCTTAGCATCCGACAAGGGGTTCAAACCCCACACCTACAAAATTCCTGATTTCTGCCTTCAAAAATTGCTTCCTCAAATCCAGATACATTATGTACAGGCGCAGACTCCCTACATACGATGAAGGCACTCATTAGGTATGATGCATATGGACTAATTTAACTTTTCTCTTCAATCAGATTTTATTGGTACAGTTTAGGTATGCATAATGATCACATTTATCATAGAGGATCTGTACCTGGGCATGCTGTAACTTGATGCTTTCCCATTCCCCTTCCTTCCTTCGTCCTTCCTCCCCTCTCCATTTACAAAGCTTTGTTTCCATTTTTGCTTTCTTTCTAATTTTTTATTTTTACCTGCTTTTCTTTCCCTCTCAATATTTTCTTCCTATTTCATGATACCTAATATACATTTTGGTCCTTATTTACACTTTTGGTTTCTCACATCAGAGAGACGATGCAGTATTTACACATCTGTGTCCTACTTATTTCACTTAAAAGAGTAAATTTTAAAAAGCCAGAAAACAAAAGAAAAAAAAAAAGAGGCTGAGGAAGAAGGGAAAAACGTTGCTTCTACAATTCATTCTCCCAAGTTGTCTGAAGGCCTCTTCTACCTTCCACTCAAATCTACTATGACATCCACAAACCTTAAAGAGTTTTAAAATAGCTCCAAAATTCAATTTTTCCTCACTTCACTGTGGCCCAAACCACTATCCCCAAGTTACTGTAATAATTTCCTGGTACTACTTTTCACTAACTAATAGTATAATCACGAAAAGGGTTTGAGCTGGGTGTGTCGGTGCATGCTGGCAATCCCAGCATTTGGGAGGCTGGGGCGGGGGATCATTGCAAGTTCAAGACCTACAAAGTGAGCTCAAGGCCAGCCTGAACTGCACAGCAAAAGTCTGTCTCATAAAGACCAAAAGAGACCATCACCAAGTGATGGGAGGAAAAAAAGCGTTACTCACTGGCCAATGAATGGAAAGGCAAGCAGGTCCCTTGCTTTTTAACTTTGGAATTGAGAAATTATAGACAGTATTAGAATAGTAAGGGGAAGAGATGAGCTAAAAATGGGAAATAATATTCACATGTTGTACAGGAATAGGCAAAGATCTTCCTTCTTTTTATGATCTGGTGTTTTGGGTCATAGCTACTGGTTAGTATCATTGGCCCAAAGATTAAGGCTGCAAAGAAAACAGACAAAAATATGAAGCCAAAAATGTCAAACTTTTTCCTCTTTCTCCCATCACCCTATTGGACATCTGATCCAGGTGAAAAGTCAATGTTTAGGGGGCTGGGGATTTAGCTCAGCGGCATAAGCACCTGCCTTGCAAGCAGGCGGTTGTGAGTTTGATCCCCGGTACCAATAAAAATGAAAAAGACAAAAAAAAAAGTCAATGTTTATAGCAAAAGCAGCCTTCAAGTTCCTGAAAAGCAACCTAGGCAACTATTACCACCATAATCCTTGAGATGTGCTACCTAAAACAAAGCTAGTGGGAGGTAATAAAGCATTGCTTTGCTATGTGACCGTCCAAAACTTGGTAATTTTTTTTTTTTTGTACCAGAGATTGAACTCATGACTTGGCACCTGCCAGGCAGGTGCTTATGTCCCTGAGCTAAATCCCCTGCCCAAACTAGGTAATTTTTAAGTCAACTAAGAATAAGTAAAACTAGAGGCTTTAAGGTTTCTTTGGATAACAATACAGTTGTATTTTCCTCTGGTTTCATGTACTCTCTTGGAGACTAAAAACTCTTGCCTCTCATTTAAGGTGAATCTTAGAGCAGCCATGTTGCTTCACTAATACTTATTTAAATGAATGCATGAATATTTTATACAGTAATTAAATGGCATTTTAAATTCTGAACAATAATTCTTTTTTCTTGTTTTCTTGAGACACGGTTTCATTATGCTGTTCAGGCTGGCCTTGAACTCACTATGTAACCCAGACTGGCTTCAAACCTAAGGCAGTCCTTCTGCCTCAACCTCCCAAGCACTGGGATTACAGGTGTGCATTGCCCCACCTGGCTAAACAGTGATTCTTTTAAGGAGATATTTGGTGGTATGAAAATTAATGGCAGGAAACTTTTGTGAATAAGCCCATAGAACAAAGAAATGATCAGAAAGTCAAGTCAGGCACCTGGAGGAGTTACCCAGAGTTATCTTTCCCTGGAGAAGTGGACTTTATATCTAAGCCAGAATTCCTTTATTTTTGGCCACTGTGGTCTTATTTTCCCGTACCTCTAGTATCTTGTTCCTCTACTAGCCAGGCACATGGCCACAGGCTGCTGGTTGCATTGTGTCACCAGCCCTCAGCAATTGGCACTGCACACATACCCAGTATTCAGTGACATCTTGGATGCTAGGCTACAAGAGCTTCTCCAACTGTTCATTATTTGGCACTGAAACTGAAATACAGGAAGAAAAACCTTCTGAAAATCTACAGCCTGCCTACTGGTTAAGGAGCACAGCACCAGGTGTGGTGGTGCAGGCCTGAAATCCCAGCATGGCGGAGGTGGAGTCAGGAGGGTCATTGTCTGTTGGAGGCTGGCCTGGGCTTCAAAGTGTGTTCAAGACCTGTCTGAACTGCACAATGAAACCCTGTCTAAAAAAGATAAAAAGCAAAAAAGCAGAAGCCGCAGTAGCATTAGCAAGTGGGCATACCCCGCACTGTGCAAAAAGGTTGGACCCTGGTAGAGATGAGAAGCCCAGTGGGCCTCACTTTCCCTGAAGCAAGATGGCAGGCTATCTATACAGGAGGAAGATAAACCGACTGGGTGAAAACAAACATGGAGAAGGAGAGCATTTTGAGCCAATATGGGAAGCAGTGGTTATAGGAGACCAAATGGCCAGAGACCGAACAGCCCGCCAACAGAAGCGCAGGCCAGGTCACGTTGGCCAAAACCCATATTGACCTAACCCAAAATGGCGCCAGGGATGGTCTCGGGCTCGCACCGGAGGAGGGGATTACCCTGACCCAAGATGGCGGCAGCGATTGAGGCGCGCTCAAGGGCGGGAGCGCCAGGAGCGTCTCTGCCCTTACCCAAAATGGCGGCCCCGTGGGCGGTGTCTCGGCTCCGCCCTCGCCCCGGCCCCGCCTCCCCCCGCCCCCTTGTCCGGCCAAGTCCAGCCGGTGGTGCTCGCGCAGTGAGAGCGGGCTGCGGGCAAGAGACATGGCGGCAGCGGCAGCGACTGCGGCGACCAAGGGAAATGGGGGTGGCGGTGGCCGGGCCGGGTTCAGCGAAGGCGGTGGCGCGCGGAGGAAGAAGGGTCCGGGGCCTCTAGCCACGGCGTACCTGGTCATCTACAATGTGGTGATGACGGCGGGGTGAGGCTGGGGCTCGGCTGCGGGCGGGTGCTCTGCCGCTGGCGGCGCGGCCCGGGCGTGCGGTGCATCCCGGCGGCGGCGTGCGGGATCCGCCTGCCTGCGTGCGCGCGGGGTCGGGCACCGGCTGTGAGGGCGCGCGGAGGCCTCCCTCGCAGTCCCGCTGGGCGGCCACAGGTGCGGCGTGGGGCGGTGCGGCCGGGCGCCCGCAGCGAGCTGCCCAGCCCTGCCTCACCGCCCGCCGCGGAGCCACCATTCATTTAGGCGGCCGTTTTCAAAATCTGGGCTGAGCTTGAACCGGAATGGGCTGAGAAGGCGTTCAAAGTTTTTGGCCAGCAACGTGAGCTCCAGACGAGTTTACTTTTCGGACTGCATCGGAGATGGGGTGGGGGTGGGGGTGAGTGTGGGGTGCGGGTGGGGGTGGGGCAAAACTAGGGAGTAGGAGGGAGAGTTCCCGGGGACGGGAGGACACACCTCCGGAACGTTCCGCTCCTTCTGCCTCTGCAGCCCTTCCCTTCTCGCTGCATGTTTTTAGTTGTAGTTCTGACACTAACTGGCCTTGGCACTTTGAATCTGACGGCTTCTTTCTCCAGGACTCCGTTTTTTCATCTGTGAAAACAGAGTTGGGCATGATAGTTTACAAGGTTCCTCCTGCTTTGGAATTCTTAGCTCTTATGTTTTGGTGATGGAACTTCACAAGATCAGACCATTTTATTAGGAATTTGTGAAATGTATTTATTTGGAAACATAATTTCCCTAAAATTTTATTAAGAAAATTTAAACACAGAAAAGTTTAGAGAACTGTGTAGTGACTCTTCAGTTTTAATTTATTTTTAAGGTAATATAGTGGCAAAATTCAAAATGCACTCAAAGACATACAGTGAAAACCTTCCCACCCATCTATCCATTCCACCCAGAGCCCCTTGTGACCTAAGATGCTGACAAGAATGGTACATGCTTTATATATATATATATATATATATATATATATATATAATATATTGCTTATGTATATTATATACATGCACATTGATATACTTGTACAGTTCAGCACTTTGCTTTTTCATGAAAAAAAATTCTGTGAACCTTTTTGCTTGTATTAGAAATAGTTGATGCTGAACAGCTCAGAGACGTTGTGATGTGTTGACTTGTTTGAGATCATAGAACCTGTTAAACGGACATTCTGGATCTAGAACCTATTTCCCTTGACTCAAGAGTCAATGAACATGCAGACACAAGTTGTCTGTCATATAAGTGATCACATTGAGGTTTTTTTTTTAAAGAACATTCGAGAAGCTGTATGTTTTATATATAAAATTCTTGTCCTACCAAGGGCATTGATAAAGCACATTGCACTGGAGATGCATTTTAAGGTACAGTGGGGAAGAAATATTTGTTCATAATGAACATAGAGAATGAGGTAGTGGGTAAGGAGTATTTTCTTAAACCAGGAAGATAAATCGGGATTGTGGGTGTAAAATAATGCTCTAATTTAGTGCTAAAAATTAAATCAGTAATATATTCCTCTAAGACTGGGCTGATTACACTATTTGCGAATTCATTTGTGCCTTTTTTTTTTTTTTACAAAGTTGTTTGCTGTCTCTTATGATAGTTTGTAGAAATAACATTAATCATATGCACCATTGCCTAGTTATGGTTACACACCAGGTAAATCTATAACTGTGTTGCAAGAGACACACCTAGTCATAGAAGGCATTATGGAATTATGAAATTTAATAAATAAAACATGACATAGCCTAGTTTTTTGTTTTTGAGACACAATCTCACTGTAGTTCAGGTTGGTTTTGAATTCACAGTGTAGCCTTGAACTCAAGGAGGCCTAAGCCTCCCTGGTGTTGGGATTATAGGTGTGTGCCACAACACCGGACCTCGATTATTATTAAAGATCTTAAACTGCACAGATCATTTAAAATTTGCCTTGAACAATTTTTTTCCTCTTGGGGCTGGGGATTTAGCTCAGTGGCATAAGAGGCTGTCTGGCAAATGCAAGGTCATGAGTTCAATCCCAAGTACCAAAAAAAAAAAAGAGACAAATGTACCTGGAAGGGCTGGGGATTTAGCTCAGCGGCATAAGTGCCTGCCTTGCAAGCAGGCAGTCGTGAGTTCAATCCCCGGTACCGATAAAAAATGAAAAAAGACAAAAAAAAAAAAAAAAAAAAACAAAAACAATTTTTTTCCTCTTGTGTTAGACTTTCTGGCATCTAATTTATCACTACAAGGACTATTTTAGCTTATTTTCTTCATTTTGGCCTTGTTCTCTGGAGGCAAATTTGCCAAAAGTCAGGGCTCAGATGGGACTCTTTAATAGCTCAGCGGCACCATGTCTGCCTGGCAAGTGTGAGGTCCTGAGTTTGAGTCCTGGTACAAAAGCACAAAACAAAACATAGTGATGGTGGAGAGCAACAGTTGATGTATTAGTCATCTTTTCATCACTGTAACATGCATCTGAATAATCAGTTTCTAAAGGGGAAAGGTTTATTTTGCCTAACAACTTTGGTGATTATAGTCTACCATTAGTCGGCTGTACTGCTTTGGGCCCCTGGCAGGCCAGGAAGCAAAAGAAAGGGAAGGGCCCAAGTCCACGTTCTCTTTTTGGGCCATACCTGAGTGGAAGGCCTCGCCCTTAGACAAGCCCTCCTCCCACCACCACATGGGGTTCTCGGAAACACGTAAGATCCAAACCATAGCGTTCCAGGACCACTAGCTCTTTTTTTTTTTTTTTTTCAAATCCATTTTATTTAAGGATAAAAAGAAAAACTACAACAAAATGTCAAAACATGGCAATCGGGGCAACAATGGTACATACATTGTGCATTGTCATCCCCAAATCATTCACCCAGAGCGCAAGACCTCTGCATTCAGTTGTCTGAACAATGACAGCACAAATCTTTCTCTTCAGCAAACTTAGAGAAATAGTTCTATTAATATCTTAACTTTTATATACATACAGATACACGTATACATATGTTTTATTCTTTCAGCTTGCCACACTAATAAAACAATGTGATGTTTACATGTGTGATCACTAGTTCTTGAAGTCATCTTTAGCATGGTCTGTTATTGCTACATTTAAAAAAAATTTTTTTTGGTGGGATAGTACTGGGAACCGAACTCAGGATCTTATACTTGCCAGGCAGGTGCTTATGCCACTGAAGCATATTTCCAGCCCCACCACATCTTTCTGTTACCTTAAGTCCTGTTATGCTTTTGTTTTTCTGATTGCTCTTTTCTCTTTTATTAGGTGGCTGGTTATAGCAGTTGGTTTGGTCAGAGCATATCTGGCTAAAGGGAGCTACCATAGCCTTTATTATTCAATAGAAAAGCCTTTGAAATTCTTCCAGACTGGAGCCTTACTGGAGGTAGGTTTGACATTTGCTATTTCAGTTACTACCAAATAGAAAACATGCTACTAAATTGTGCTGAAGTATCCATATCTCTGCTGGATTTTAACTTTTGAAATTTTGTCTCTTGGTGTTGATTCCTCTTGTATCTTTTTGATGTGCTAGATAAAAAAGTTCTGTTTAACTTATTACTCATAGTATATTTTTTTGCAACGTTTATTGGAAACCAACTCATACCAGTTTATGTTAGTACTTTAAAAATGTTAGACTATCCTACGGATAGTGTTGGGCACACTCAGATTCTTTCAGGCCTTACATAATGGAAAGTGTAGTTGGTGAATAGGGCATTAGAGCGGTGAATATGGCAGCAGAACCTGTTGAAAGGCATCCAAATTAAAAGACATTTTTTAAACCTTAAGTTATAAAGGGTAGTACAGGTGTTGGCAAACTCAGAGGCTTTCAGGGGCCGTATAATGAAACCAGGGAAGTTGGTGGATATATACACTCATCCTGTCTCCAAGGTAAATATAGATCGGATTTTTGAGTTACAACTGACTCTCTTAAGCAGAAAAGGGATTTACTGGTTTCTGCAGCTGATAAAGGTAGATGGTTACAAGGGACCTGACATCACCAGACTCTTCCCATCTTTGACCTCTGCTGATTTCTGCTTCTTGGCATTTTGGCTGTAGGCTCTCCTGTTGCAGACAGTATGGTAGGAAACGGCAAGGATGTTCATTTCCCCAGCGTCCGTGCCACACAAGAGCTAGGGAAGGGTTCTGCTTGGCCTTCCTTACCCAATTGCTGATGCAGCAATCTCGCCAGTGAAGTGAGATGCTTGATTAGTCAGGCCTAGGGTACATGGCTCTTCTTCTGGCAAAGGAACGATCGGATTTGTTGATGGAAAAGGAGGACTGGAGATATTTTTGTGCACGCAAAATCAATAGCTGCCATAATTCATTGTGGTGAAAAAACCCATGGGCTCCCAGGAAGAGCTGCTATTCAGTCTCATTTTCCTTAGCCTTCTGGGACAGCCCATCGTGATATTTATACCTTGGTGGCACTATGAAGTGATATCTAAGAAAAAATATCGTTTATCTTCACCTTTCATCCTCACTTTCAAAAGCAGAACATTCTAGTATTTTTGATTTTTTCCTCTTAGAAAGCAGAAGAATTTAAATGCTGTCCACGGTCATGCGTTTTAGTAGGGAATATAATGAAACAAGCTTCCAACTGGGAGCCTGAGTACCCTTTTCTAGCTATGCTGGTTTACCAACTCTGTGAATTTGGGCGTCTTTTATCCTTTCTCCATCTTTTTCATTTGTAAAGGAATTAGGTTAAAGTAGATTTCTAAAGTCCCTTCCTGCCCTAACAGTTGAGTCTAAGGAAACTAACAACTTCTGGTGAGCCATTTTTACTTAGAAGTGTGGATTTTTTTGGAAGGAACAGTGGTAAATATGTAGCACTTTGTCTCAGAGCTTTGGCCACATAATCCCTCAAGCTTCAGAGAAGCAAAGTTGAGGTCAAGACCTTAAAATACTATCTAGTGCTTGATGTGCTAGAGACTTTTACTCTACCGGAATACTTCAGTACTGTAATTTCAGAAGGATTCTATGTCTTCAAGACCTTGTAATATTAAAAGTTTAATTTAAAAATTTTAAGTGAGTTTTAGGGAAACTAGGAACATTACACAGTGTGATTCAAAATCCACTTGGGAGTTAAGTCTTCGACTTTGCAAGATTAGTCCTTCATCCCCATTGCATTTGCTGCAGAGATTTAAAAAATTTTTGAATTTTTGGTTTTATCTCTGTGATCCCTATGAAGGAACAATTACTCAACGTCATTAAGTGATAAATCCAGGATTTGATTTTGGGGAAAAGACAGTGAATATGAAGTAAAGACCCCAGGAACGTGCATTAAATTAACATTGCAGGGGTCAGTAATGGTGGCAGTCCTCATCCTGGGTGGTAAAGCACGTTAAGGAGTATTTCTTCAGCACCTACTCAGCCTGCATTGTGTAATCATCAGATACATGTGGTGTGGATTAATTACGCATGGGTTATCCTTGTGGGAATCATTAGTACTTGACAGTAACGTTTTGTTTACAGGAAGAGAAAAATAATCCAGGGAGGTCAGCTATTCATTTCTATCTCTTTGTGGTGATATAACTCTTTAGTAAGTTCTGTAGGAGTTGACCTAACAAGGAAATAGAAGTTATTCATTCTCAAAAAAAATCATATCGTTAAAATGTAAAACATTTCTTTTTGAAAGACTTTTAAACAAGTGTAAATAGACATGTATAAATTTATTTTCAGAGTACTTTAAAATTATTTTTTACAGAATGGATCATATATTGATTTGGTGATGCAGTGAAATAGGTTTTTAATAAAATGGACACAAATCTTAATTATTTCTACTGTTTACCCAAGAATGTCTAGAGTATTACTTATAGGTAATTTTCCAAATTATTTTATGAGGAGTCATTTAAGTAAGTACATGTTTGGTAATGAGTACTGTGGGAAGCTGAGCCCTTCCTGAAAAGCTTAAAATTGCATTGGGTACATAATTACAGTAGGGCTACTGAGTAGAAACAACAGAAACTTCCTCAGCTGTGGGATCTAGGGGCAGGGATGCACATGGACTGGCATCACAGACCATAACACCATACAAACCCAGTGTTCCATCTCTTAGCTCTTACTGGCGTGCTCTCGCTCTCTCTCTCTCTCTCTCTCTCTCTCTCTCTTTCTCTCTCTCTCTTTCTCTGTGTCTGTCTTTTTCTCCTGTTCTCTTTCTTCAGACTAGTATCTTAGTCCATGTGGCAGACAATGATAACAGCCAAACCTCTTGAAATTACAGGTTCTCCAGTCAAGAGAGCACTAAGTAGAAACAGAGTCTTAGTCGCGGTTCTGCATCTGCAGTGAGGGGCTAGTCGGTCCCACTAGAATGAAGTGCATATTTCTGGGCCTGTCAGTTAAAGAAAGGATCAGGGTAACAGTGACAATACAGAGTAGAAGAGAAGGGGATGCTTTTAGAACAAGGATGCTAGGGCTAAATCCAAGAAATATTTACCAAAGCCCTTACAAGACACACAGTATGATAAAGATTGCGATATAGATATATTTATAAATGTATATGTTTTTTATTTTTATTAATATTTTTGTTTTTGAGTAAGTGCTTCTCCATGTTGTCTGGAACTTCTGTGTTCAAGCACCCCTCCCATCGCAGCCTCCTGAGTGGTTAGGACTGTCCTACAGATGAGCCATCACTCCAGCCTGTATATGATTTATATGCTGAGTTATGTAAAATGGTGAAGGCAGTGTTGTGCGACTAAAGACTCAGTATCTGAGTAATACGTTCTGTGTTGAACTGAATCTCGAGTAATTCTGAGCACTAATTTACACACAGGTGTACTAGTCATAGATAAAAATATGATGTATCCATACTATAAATATGAATTAACTACTGACACATAGAATACTAGCACAGACCATGAAAGCAAGCTATGTGGCAGAAAGCAGACACAAAAAAATCACAAATTGTATGATTCATTGAATGAAATACCCAGACTAGACAAAGCCATTAGGACACAAAATAGATTAGTGAATGTTAGCAACTGCAGAAAGGAGAGAAAAGAATGACTGCGTCTCAGTTTTTTTTAATAAATGCTGTTCGCTATGGATAACTGCATGTATGTTTAAGTGTATAGGATTGACAACCATGTTACTAAGTTTTTGTTGGACAGTTGAACAGAATTGTTTGCGGTCTTGCTGTTTGAATTCCCACTTTACATGATCCACTTTTGTATCTTTAACAAGTATTTGTAAAACGACAATATGTAAACATCAACTAGTGATTCCTTACTGTTTATTTTCTTCTCTGAACGTATGTATTATTTCTACCTATTTTCTGTTTTGTTTAGTCTTTCTTTAAAATTAAAAAAAAATTATAAATGCTGTTCATCTATACCAGTGGAAGCAAACCTATGGTACATGTGCCCTGACAGGCTGCTGTTATCATTGAAAACTCTAAAAGATTGGCCGTTGCTTACCTATACTGTAGTGAGGTATAGGTGTTTCCTTTTTACCGCATTCTGGTTTTGGATCTGTGGATTGATTAAGTTTGCTCTTCTAGTTTTAAGTAGAAATTAATAATTAGTAGATTAATGCAACATTATAGCAATTTAAAGTGATTTCAGAGTAAATTTGGATTTCTGAATATCTTGGTTTAACATAATGTAATTATAACAAAAACACCTTCAGATTTGTATAGTTACCTGCCTTGCCTCTGTGTCTGACAGTGAGGCTTCAGATGGGTTAAGGTGGCCCTGCAAAGACTTCCTGTTGACACTGATATAGACTGTCTTCAACCTGTGCGTACGAGTGTGATCAAAAACTACAGCGTTTAACTTTTAAAGATATATTATCAAAATACCTCCCTTCACTAAAGAAATACGTTTCTTTCATCATTATTGTCACTCTGGGAAGCAGTTCTAGAAGTTCTTATTCAGAATGTATTTAATTGTGCTGTCATGGCTGCCTCAGTGTCCTGAATTGATTCAAACTATTTACCTGTCGTAGTCATTTTTACTGTGGGGAAGAGCTGTAAGTTGAGTGGTGCCAGATGAGGTTTACACACTCATTGATTTTTATCGGGGCTGGGTGGGTACTGGAAATCAAACTCAGTACCTTGTACTTGCCAGGCAGGCGATTATGCCATTGAGCTAATTCCCCGGCCCCACTCATTGATTTTTTTGGTCATTGCTTTTAAAGGCTCATGAAAGAGGGCTTCCAAAACTGCCTCAGAAAATGATGGGATAAATATGTGGAATATTGAGGGGGGTTACTGACAGTGTGTATTTAATAGATTTTTGAAAATTTAAATCCTCACCATGTATTGTGATCACGCACTACATCACTACATCATTTACCTATCACTATCTGTCCAGGAATGCCTAGAGGATCACGGGAACTTCCTTCCGTTCCTCTCCAAATCTTTCTACTCTGTAGAGTTCCCTATCTACA